TTGTTCTCGTGTGCCATGGTAAAAGACCATGCGTGGAACAAGTGTAACCATATATTAAAGCGAGATCGGGATCAGGCATCTCCTTCATACGTAACTTTTCGGTAATTAGTTGCTCTGTAATTTCTTCCGGATTTAGACGTCCCGAAGATACGGCTTTTGCCAATGACTGCGTCAACGTTACTATCTGCCCTTTACTATCTATATCCGATAATAATGATACGTTTATTTTTAACCTGCTTTCTGTAATTAAAACATACATTCTTATTACTCGGCATTTTTTTTAAAGATACGATTGTTTAAGTGAACTTCTAACTAAATTGTTTATTTCAAGGAGACACGGAAATGTTGAATGCTAATGATTGGAGAAAAAAATAGGAACTTAGTTTGTTCCAATATAACAACATTTGTTTCAATATGATAACCATTTTATCTGCAAAATAATTACATAACATGACACAAAATTGTATTTCTTGCATACTATTTCTGAAAATTTATTCGCCAACAGCTACATGCATATGTGATTAGAAAACGCATGTATTAACATTACTAACTGCTGTTTGAAGAATTTTCTTAGGATTAATTAGGTCATCAAAAAATAAAAAAGAAAAATATATACTTTACCAATTACTCCATTTTGACTAGGTGCTTTTGCATATGAATTCCAAACAATATGCTCTACTAGGTCAGGCCGCTTTCTCGCAAATTCTTCTTTAAGCTTAGTTTCATTTTTCTTGATAAAACCTGAGAAAACAATATGAATTGGGAAAACTTCAATTTGCATAGCATTAAACTACATATTTTTGCACTGGATATTTTTGTAAATTGTTTTTATTTTATTTTTGCCTACAGTTTATCTATAATTTATAATTGACCTATAATTTTGCATTGTTAAATAAACAAAATAATTTTGTAATGTGTCATTATAAACATATAAATATTATTTAGCCATACAGGTTAATGTATGTATTATCACTTGCAACAAAGATAAATTTATATTTATGAAAATACACATTAATTCCTTAATGGATTATTATATTATATTATGTTAAATTAGTGATATGGAGTGGAAAGTTACTGCAATGCCAAGATATTTGTGCAAAGCGTTTGCAAATTTTCATGTGCATTCGAAATATACTGACCAGTCATGCATAAGCAAATTTAGTTTTACAATCTATATGTTATATGAACAGCCGTTGTCGCACGGAAACTTAGAAGTGAAAATGACAAGGAATAATCGAATGAGACAACCAAAAGAAATTAATGTTATAATAACGAATCGATAATATGATGTGGTTCAAAGCAAAGAATGATAAAAAATTTAAATTTCCATTAAATAAAATAGCTATAACTTATCAAGGAATTTGATAAGTCGATCACACATGTCCTCGAGAAATAACAAATGCAAAACGAAACATAAATAAAGTTATAGCTTAAGTAAGCAACTAAGGTGTAGCCTATGTGCAAAATGCAATATTTTGTGACAGTAACTGATATGATTATCTTTCTAAGTGATTTATGATTTCACGAGATATACAGGTATCTTTTTTTTCGTAATTGTCGTTATATGTAATAAGGGAAAGCATTTTGTACGATCATCTAGAATCTTGGAAGAATTTTAATATAAACATTCCAATAAATCAACATTATAATTTCCTACTCAATAATATAATCGTTACATACATATGTTATATAATTATTATATTGTCAAGCAAGAAATTATAACATTGATGTAACATCATTGTCAGTTGATATTCACTGGTATGAAATAATTTGAACAATTTAAAATTTGCAAGGCAGATCCGAGTGTAATCGCTCTAAGATATTGTATTTGACAAAAAATTGTATCAAGAACGTTTTATAATCATCTCACGTGTCAAACGTACAATAAATTTGTATGACAAATGACAAATGACTTTAGGTCTTCAACATAAATTCATATACATTCGCAAAAAAAAAGTATATATATTATAAAAAAAGTGTATATATATATATATATATATATATATACA